TGAGTTCCCGCCATCGTCCGACAGGTACCCCATCGCATTGTCCTTTGCGACGTACTGTGGGTATTCGGCAGTGAACTCTGCGAGACACTGCACGTTAGTCATAGCGTTGTAGTGATGGACAGGACGGCGCACCCTTGACGGTGTTCCAGAGTGTGGGGATCGTAGCTTGAAACTCGTACATGGTGATGGTGAAGCCGTACACCTTGTTATTGTCCTCCATAAAGACGAACGGGTCTCCGTTGATATCGCAGTGGAAATGTACGTCCGGCCTGTACAGTTCGTGAGCTTCACGCTCGAGCGCTCAATTTAAGGGCGACGTACTCGACGCGCCAGTACCACTTGTACTTCTGGACGATGGGATGCTTGTAGAAGAACTAAGAGGGAATCAATGGGAGAAGTAATCCCAGTGAAAGTAGACGTACTCCGGAGTTAAAGCGACACATATTGCGGTACGAAACACTGCCTCCATAGATGATGTTGTCCTGGACCATCTTCTCCCGACTTGCACTCGCCTTCTCTTCATCAATCCAGTCAGGCTGTTGCCAGTGATCTTGAGGTACCACGCCGAATTCAACGGGTCCAGAAATAACGTTCGACACGCGTCTCTTAAACTCATCCGAGAACGGCTCATCGTTGAGGAACACCCAGGGGTACTGGAATTTGTGGTTGAAGCGATCCTCGAGGTCGCGCACGCTTCGAATAGCGGCTTCTGTATCACTGTTCCGTGTAAGCATCAATATCGTTGCGTTCGCTCTACGTCCTGATGGAGGAGGCAAGTCGTCGATATCCTCGGAGTCTCCATTGAACGATAGCTTAGAGGAGATTTTCGACAGAGATGTTGCTCGGCCATAGTCTTCATGGGTGAAACTGAGTATCGAATGCAGTCCCAGCTGTGGGGGACGTCATGAGCACCCGAAGTTTCTATTGAAGGGTCGGCGATACTCACGACCACCACGAGGACGAGGATCACGTATCGAGTAGTAGTGTTCATTTTGGGGACCTCAAGAATAGCTGGGGTTAATCTGGGTGGTAGTTGTGTCCAGCCTTGCCAGCAAAGCAACGAGGTATAACAGTGAAACAAGTGGACCGGGATGAAGATGCGAACAGCTCCCAAGTTGATCAAAGAGGGGACAACCTGAGCGGGGCACCGCAATTCAATCGTGCTCGGAGAAATGCGAACAGCCGGCTCCGCAAGGGGTAGGCCCGACAGCTAGGCTCGCTACTAACATACGCCAATCTGCAGATCTCGGGAGATATACGAGCAGTTCCACGATATATATGTGTCGAGGATGGCCAACAAGAAGGGTGTCACATACGATGCCTTGCAGCGAGGACTCGAATGCTGGGGCGCCACTTGAAGATCGCCATTCAGGAGACTCTGTGACCCGGCCGGTGTAGCCTGGCCGTCACTGGGAGTCAAGCGTGTTTCCCGCATGGCAGAGCACAGGACATGACGGCCATCCTTCACCTTCAATAGCGTAATCGACGGTCACGATCATAGATAGCTGAGACGCTCGGAGTTTGAGCTCTGTCAGGGTAGGGTTTCGATTGTGCCGGAGTAGAAGCAAGGGGCAGCAAGCTGAGCAGCAGGTGACGAAGAATGCTCTATGTAGAATCCGAAAAGACGAGCTTGCCACACACATGTCATGATACGTCTGGAAAGATCCCCGGCATAACTTAGTCGAATTAGGACCTATGTAGGTCCTGGTTACACGAGAGCAAAATCGGTGCTACGCATGGGCGGAGAGAATTGATAAGAGAGTCAGCGGTGAGAAATGAGAACAACGCGCCGCCCACTGTGAACTTGAAGTCGGCTGGCTGAGTGTGGTGATACTACTAATGGTCGAGCCAGCGCAACGTTAACAGCAGTGCTCAACTTTGATACTAGTAGCGCGGATTTACAGATCATGTGGCCTCTCTACCCAAGAATGCTCTGTAATTCATGTCAAGATGTTCTGGCTCGGGTCATACTATCAATGGTTCTGCATGTTTGCAGAACTTGACTGGAGTCGTGTGCGAAGCGGCGGCACACAGTATCTAATCACTCAATGATGGGATCTAGATCTGAAGGAAATTTCAGAAGCGCCTAGATCAGCCGTCCTGAGTGAAGACCATCGCCCTCCTCTGTACACAACAGGCTCTGAGCCTAATATAATCTCCTCAAAAGTAGCGGGGATAAAGTCAAGATGGTACAAGCTACTCATCATCACCGGCCGACACTCAAGCAGGTGAGGCCATGGCTTGCTTTGTGGACTTTGGTGCGTGCAGGACTAAACGATCCTGCAGCAAAACAAGCCGTTCAAGTCGAAGCATGCCACGAAGGGATCATTGAAGGAGGCTGCTAAAGGTGCATCTCGTCTTTCCTTTTGAGCTTACATGATTAACCTCTCTCCTCGTGGCATTAAGGTAAACTTAACCGGCAGTATATCAAAAGCCCACACTCTGCGGCGACCGCGGCGCAGACCCGGCTGAACAGGAAGAACCACGCGAAGCAGGTACAGCTACGGAAGAGACAAGTTCTTGTGTCTGCGACTCGGTTGTTCAGTGGCGTCGATGGTGTCCCGCGGATAGTTGCAATCGTACCTTTGACCCCAGATGTCGATACCGCATCTGTTGTGGCCGCCATGCAGGAGCCTCTAGATGTTTCGGACGATGTCCCTCGACAGGGGCTGTACAGGCTTCGGTACGTCACGATCTTCGATAACTCTGTGCCCTGACCTTCTGACCTTTTCTCAGAGCAGACCGCTTCAAGACCTCCCTGCAGTTCGTCAACGTGCCATACCGACGTTTATATGCCGCACTTGATGCCTGCAAAATAGCAGATTATGTTGTGTTTGCTCTCTCTTCCGAAGTTGAAGTCAACCAATGGGGCGACACGCTTCTGCGCACCCTCCAGGCGCAGGGTCTGCCGCAGGTCGTCACCGTAGTTGCATCCTCTCCGCCTATGGACGCCAAGACGAAGTCTGGCATCATGAAGTCGCTTCTCTCCTTCATCCAGTATTTTGTCCCCTCGCAGGTTCGAGTATACGACCTCCATGCGGCGTCGGACAAGCTCAATGCTCTGCGCACGCTCTGCGAGGGTGTGCCTGAGGGCGTGAAGTGGCGTGAAGGTCGCGCATACATCCTTGCAGAAAATGTCGCGTGGGCGGACGGCAGCTTGGCAGTCACTGGCTTCGTGCGCGGCTCGTCGCTCTCTGCAAACCGGTTGGTCCACTTGCCGAACTATGGAGACTACCAAATATCCAAGGTGCGCATCTCACGCGGAGACGGTGTTGCAATGCCTCATCTCGTATTCCTTGGGACAGATCATGTCTGCGCCCTTACTGAAACATTCTAGAGGGGGCCAGTCCAGTGCCATGGAAGTCGAGCCGGAGTTATTGGCAGAACCGGATGCTATGGATGCGGACTCGCTTGTCTCCAGTAACGAGCCAGACGACCTTGCGAATGAACAGACTTGGCCGACGGAGGAGGAGATGGCTGGTGGATCGCACTTGATGGACGACGGCCCGATCCCGGCTGCGAAGAAAGGTACGACGCCCAAGGCCGTCAAGCGCGTGCCGAAGGGTACCAGCTCGTATCAGGCAGCATGGATCGTCGACGAGAGCGACGAAGAGGGCGAAGAGGACGACGAGGACGACGGCGCGGAGGGAAGCGACGCAGGCACGGCGGAGCGGGACGTCGAGGAAGAAGAGATGGTCGAGATCGAGGAGGGCGAGAACGCCGAGACAGCGACGGATGGGCGCCGGAGCGTCGCGTTCCAGAACCACGAGGACCTTGACATGGAGGAGGAAGGTCGCCAGCTTCAGACATGGCGGGACCGCAAGCGCGAGGAGGAAAACGACTTGCAGTTCCCGGACGAGGTCGACACGCCGATGGACGTGCCAGCGCGCGTCCGCTTTCAGCGGTACCGCGGCCTGCGCTCGTTCCGCACGAGCCCGTGGGACCCGTACGAGAACCTACCACGCGACTATGCGAGGGTCTTCCAGTTTGAGGACTTCAAGCGGACGGAGCGGGCTGTCAGGCGGCGCGCGGAGGAGGATTCGTCTGCTGCTCAGGTGTGCAGGCTTTTCTTCGTTCAATCAGGCTCAATGGCTGACACGGCGCGCAGCCCGGTACTCGCATCACTGTCTACCTCAAAGATGTACCTAAGGAGGCCGCTCAGAAACCCTTGTTTCCGTCTGTAATCTTCGGCCTCCTGCAACACGAGCACAAGAAGTCCGTCCTCAACTTTACCGTGCAGCGCAATACCGAGTATGATGGCTCCGTACGTTCGAAGGATCCCCTGATCTTGTGCGTCGGTCCGCGCCGCCTGCGCGTGAACCCAATCTACAGCCAACACACACGCGGCGGCGGCAAGGGTGCGAATAATGTACACAAGTCTGAGCGGTACCTCCGGCATGGGGATGTTCATGTCGCGACGACGTATGGTCCCGTTGTGTTCGGCTCGCAATCGTGCATGCTGCTGAGAGAGACAGCAGACCCTCAAGGTATGCTGATGAGACTTGTTTGGTGTGTGCGCGAACGACGCTGACTGTGCATGCAGCCCCAGAGCTCGTCGCAATGGGCAGCTTCCTTGGCACGGACACGACGCGCATTATTGCGAAGCGCATCGTGCTGAGCGGACACCCGTTGAAGGTGCACCGCAAGACGGCGACCGTGCGGTACATGTTCTTCAGCGCCGAAGACGTCGGCTACTACAAGCCCGTGCAGCTGCACACGAAGCACGGGCGCACGGGTCACATCAAGGAGTCGCTTGGCACCCATGGCTACTTTAAGGCGCACTTCGACGGGCAGATCACACAGATGGATACGGTGTGCATGTCGCTGTACAAGCGCGTGTACCCGAAGTGGAGCGAGCTCTGGCGAGAGGATACACCTACTCCTATGCAGGATGGCGACGACAGGATGGAAGAATAATGTAAAATGCAGTGGCGTTGTTCTTGGTATATGATTATGGGTTGTTGTAACATCTCCGGATGTCTGTATCTAGCTTCCTTGGAATGCCCCAATTCAATGCAGGTACCTCTGAATTTTAGTACCTATTTTTTCACGCTCAGACCTCGACGTTTAACAAGGAAGATGCAGCCCATTCGTGGCTTGCGAGTGTGGCGAATGATTGATATGTAAGCGGCGATGAGTCATGCGAATTAGCCTGGAAATGGACGGATCGCGTCTTCCACCACGACCAACCCCAAGGATACACCATTCCTCATGCCAGTTCTCTTGCAGGCATAGTCACCGCTCTAGCTACTCCCACACGCAGCACGCATGGAGGCCGTTGCGTCCGACGCTGCTACACAGATCTTGGGCAGGGCAAGCGCAGGAGGTTTCACGAGGGACAGGAGAGACTATCTCGTCGGGATATGCATCCTGCTCGTCGTGGTGTTTCTCTGGACAGCGTCCAACTTTGTCACGCAGGTATGCACTGTTGTCTCCTCATCTCCAGGCGTAACCTCAAGGCCGTTGCCCGGTGCACAGGATCTGTTTGAAGGCGGCTATGATAAACCTTTCTGGTGCGTCCTTGAGACACGAACTGTTTCTGGAGGTCCTGCTAAACGTCATGCCAGGATAACATATATATCCACCGCCTCTTTCACACTCTATTTGTTTCCGTACATGCTGAGACGGGCCTTTGGAACCGCGAAGCTGGAAGAAGGAGGTGGGTACGTGCGCCTGCTACCGGTCGCAAGTCCCCTCTAACCGGCACCTCCCTGACCCCACGAAGGCTACCAACCGCTGAGAACCGAAGGTCCTCTCGAGGAGTTACCACAACCTGTGAGTCCTGCACACAAGCCGTGGATACGGGCGGAACACTGATGACGAATAGACACCCGATCCGCCAGTGCATGGCGAAGCGCCACCGCCGCTGACGACCCGCGAGACTGCAAATCTTGCAGGGTGGTTCTGCTTTCTGTGGTTTATCGCTAACTGGTCGTTGAATGCCGCACTGGGGTATACCAGCGTCGCGAGCGCGACCATCTTGTCAAGCATGAGTGGTATGTGGACAACCAGCGTCAGGGCTGACTTTATATTGACATATACTCCAGGTTTCTTTACGCTCGCTATTGGCCGTATCTTCCGCGTCGAGAGTCTAACCCTGGTGAAGATCGGAGCCGTTGCCACAAGGTCAGAGATTCGCTAATATTGACCTCTGCTTCGGAAGCTAAGGCGAGCTTTCCTCACAGCTTCGGCGGAGTCGTCCTTGTCTCACTATCCGACAATAGTTCGGACTCTGAGGGTAAAGATGCACCGGGAAATGCATTTGCACCTGCACGCATTGTCGGCGACATCTTGGCACTACTTTCAGCGTTCTTCTATGCGACCTACATGACCCTGCTCAAAGTCCGGATACGTGAAGAATCCCGGATAGACATGCAGCTTTTCTTCGGCTTTGTCGGGCTCTTCAACGTCCTGTTCTTGTGGCCCATGGGCGTGCTGCTACATTTCGCACGGATAGAGCGATTCGAGCTGCCTGTCTCGAGCAGGGTCGTGGTTGCACTCTTAATTAGCGTGAGATCTTGCCGTTTCAGACCCGTGAATCTACGAAAACTGACGGAAATGCAATTCTTTCTTGCAGATGGGAATTACGCTGTCAAGTGACTATCTCTATGTGCTCGCTATGCTGAAGACTACGCCTCTCGTGGTTACCATCGGACTTTCTCTCACGATGCCTCTCGCCGTCGTCGGCGACTTCATCCTGCACAAGCCGTCCACGCTTCAGGTTATTCTCGGTGCCGCGATTGTCCTCCTGAGCTTCGTAGCCGTCGGACTGGAAGATTCCCGGAACAGCGGTGAGAAGGATTTGATATCCGGCAAGCCCCTGGACGAGGAGCGAGTGGTTGCCGGAGATGAGTCCGAGGAAGAAGTAAACATCGAGTCCCATGCCCTGTCCTCGTAACTTGTATCTTTGTCCGATGTCCGTGTGATGTGCCCCGCTTTGAACTTCCTGTAGATCCCCTTCCCCTTCCCGACTGTGCAGTCTCACACCGGCGTGCGAATTTATCTGCGACTGCGTATGGTATCTCCGTAGCAGGCTGAACGCTGCGGCGCATGTCCAGCGTATGACCCAGGGCACAGCTGCCATGGCTGTGCTCACTGTCCCTGGCGGGGCGTTGTCGCCGTGTTGGCGGGGACTGAACGGGCACATGCTGTTCCACAGATGCTCCCCAAAGAGGCAGTGTCGGCAACTGCCGAAAGCGACGTGGCTTATACGTGGCCGCAGCAGGCGAGCACAGTTTCCTATACACTCCCCTCCTCCCTCCACGTACGCGCGCAGTTTTCACTCTTTCTTACAAGACCAGACCATTCAGTCTTCGCTCTCTCTCTCCACGTATCATTGCACATTCCGTCTTCTCCTGCCAGCTCAGCATGAAACGTTCAGCGGACGCCGCTTTCGTTGTCGAACAACTCCCTGACACCCCCGGCTCTTCGTATCCTTCGCAGCCGTCCACACCAGCACCATCGCCGTCCCCCGAATGCCCTTCTCGCAAACGCTCTCGCTCAGAAGTCACACCAGAGGAGCGTAAGGAGGCCCGTGCGCACCGAAACCGCATCGCTGCCCAGAACTCCCGTGACCGACGGAAGGCACAGTTCTCCCACCTTGAGCACCGCGTAGCCGAGCTCGAGGAAGAGAACAAGCAGCTGCGGGCAGGCATGGGCCTCGCTCCTCACTCTCCATCTGAAGAGCAGGCTTCGCAGGAGTGCCAGAAGGAGTTAGCCCGGGAGAAGGAGAATCAGGAATTGAGAGAGAGAATCAAGACCCTCGAGAACGGTTGGGACGCCGTCATCAAGGCCCTCGCGGCTTCTGGTCTACCCCTCGCTGTCCCCACCCCACCACCACATACCTTCGAAACACAAATAACTGCGCCGTCACGACCCGTGTTCGCCCAGCCGACACACTCATATCCCTCGCCCGCCCCATCATCACCCTCATCGAGTTCCGGATTCGAGTTCGACGAGTACGAGCCCACTCGCCACCTAGCACGGGTGGCGATCACCGATGCCCCTCTTTTATCTTCGGTGCCCCAGCAGCGGGTGGACTCGCCACGAATCAACTTGGACTCGAGCTCAACCCTTCCCCTTCGACACCGGCCGTCGACAATATCGCCTCGATGGCGCCCATTGACGAGAGCGCAATGGAAGATCTCTTCCGCGAGATCCTCGCGTCGTCCCCTCTACTCTCGTCAGCGTCTATACCCGCCAGCATCATCATCGAGGACGCCGCTCAGCCTGCGCCCGCGTCCTCCGAGGCGCAGATAGCGAGCACGTCGCCCGCCGAGCCGATCATCGACTGGGAAGGTGAAGTGGAGATGCAGAGACTCTTGGAGATGCTCCCTAACGTCGCAAATGACGCGAGCGGAGATGTGCCTAGCGACGCGATCGACTTTCCCTCGGCCCTTGACCTGGGCCTGAACGGATGGGACCTGCAACTCACCTCACCAGCAGCTCCCCCCGCCGTCGCTGCGTTCTAGACGCCTCATTCATTCTCGCTCAACTCTTGTGTCGTATCTTCTTGGGTCTGTTTCAGTTGCATCCCCGCTTTCTAATTTATAGTGAACTCCCGGTTTCTTGACTCTCGGTTTAATTTCGATTTCTCATCGTCTCTCAGACATCAGAGGTCGCATCCATCCTAATGTTCCTCACTTTAGCAGAGTCTCCACTTTACTCCTTTTCCTTCGCCTCTCTTCATTAACTCTCTGATGCTTGTCTCCCTGCTGCCGTCGTGGGCTTTTCTCCCTTCGGGTTGATGAATCGTCTGCGCGTGCCGGTCGGTGAGCGCTCAGGTTGTGTAGTTGTAGATCGTTGGATTCGTTTGTACGGTTTTGGTGCTGCTCTATAGGGAATGTCAAAAGATTGCGAACGCCTCACTACCCCTGTGTGCGTGAGGCGAATGAGCTGGTTGAAGAGAACGTAGTGCAGGTATTGACGCGAACATCTC